TCTATATATATATATATATGGTACCCCCCCCCCCCCCCAGGGACCTACCTTTTTGATGAATTCACTGGTATTTGCAGTCATTTTTGGGCTTTGGGGAGAGCAATGAAAAAGAAGCATTTCCAAGGACGTTCTGGAAGCTTCAGGCTTGATTGAAACCGATTTAGACCGATTTAATTTAATACATGTATATGTATACACATGTATACATATATTGTATATATATATATATATATTAAATATGTATATATGCATTGTAACCCCTATTCTCACTCTCACCTCAGGTGCCGCATTTCAGACTGGGCTGCCCCACGCCTCAGCCAGCAGGTCCACGCCTGCACAGACCCAACTCTACCCCCAGCTTCGTGGATGGCACGGTTCCAGATCGGTAGATGTGGGCAGACGAATGACCCAATGGAGTTGGAAGTCGCTGCCATCACTTTCACCAAGCCGTAACCCAACATCGACGGGTTTTCATTGAGGATGAAGTCTTCAAGTGGGGGGCAGCGCAGGCGAAGTGTCACTAAAATGTCAAAAGCCCCCCCCATCCCCAAGCAATCAATGCTCTCAAGAATCCCCCCCACGGGTGCTTTCCGAATATGGCAGCCATGTTGATCCACCCCCTCTTTTTGGTGGACACTCATATAATTTGTGCAACCCTTTCTTTAAGAGTCTGCAAAACCACCTTGGAGTCTGCAAAACCACCTTCTTGAGCCCGCTTTTTGGGGAAGCCCCCTTTTCTTCAGCACATGCCCATGGGAACGGAAATGGCTTAAAAAGACCGGAGTGATCCGTATCGCCTTTATGGGTTGCACCCCTTCAAAGTCAACGAGCATCGTGTTGGCTCAAGACTACCCCACTACCAAAACGGGATTCCAAATAACCACAAAATCTGCCGCGCCGTGGGTCACCAAATGTAGGAGCCATTCACATCTCGAAGTGAACCCTGGGCCCATCAAAGTGCCATCATCAAGATGGCCCTCTTCCGCTTAGAGGGTTGGCCCCAAAGGACATGTTGAGCACTCGAAATAGAAACATCACTCCCGAACCCAAACTTTGAGAACCCGTCAAAATGGGTGCGTGTCGAATACAGGGACCCTAACTTCCTTTTGGTTCCCCGAAAAGACCTACCCAGCAAGGCTGCCCTCGTTGAAGCCATCCCCAAATGGATGCGAGTCGAAAAATGGTACCCAAAATAGATCCCTGGTAAATGGAACCAATGACTGAAACCTGCGGTCCCCTGGTGGATCAAATTTGGACCCGAGCGAGCCACCAGTCCCCACTTCGCCTGAGCCATGGGTCCTCGACAGCGGGTCTTCCCTGCGACCCATAGGCGCGGACGGACGAACGGATCGGTCGGACGGGGTGGCACCCTTGCTCAAGCACTGATTGTTTGAAGAACCTTCCGCGAAAAGCTGGTTGCTTCAAACAGATGCCGCCCAACCCGTTGGAAACCTGGCAATTTTCCACTGCTTTTGATATTCAGGGAATCCGCCACAGGAAGTCCCCGACGGTAGCTACTCAGGTGGATCGAGCGGAATCTCCAGTGGTCAGGAATACTTCACACCACTAACCCCAAAAAGAGTCTTGTTAAGCCCTTGCGAACGGCTTGCTAACCCTTTGCAAATCCCTACTCCGCTATTTCCCCCCGAGCCTTGCAAAAAAAGATCGTGCAATCCCGAGACCATACAAGTCCATGAAAATTGACAGGAAGAACCAAGCACGTGCTAAAAACGTCACCCTTCAGCGGGCGCCCTTGTTAGGTTAAGTTCTTGGATCGCCCAAAGCCATGTCCGTTCCGCCGCTGAATTGACGTCAAGCCCAGTGGGGGCATCACAGAAAGTGCTCGGCCGCACCCAAAAATGCACCACCATGTTCCACACCGGAGTGGGGGGGGGGTTCAGGTAACTTTTTCTCGGGAACCCCCACGAAATGTGAGTGCATTCACAACCAAGAGAGGACCCTGTTCGTTTTGCAGCGCCCCCGTTCGCCCGAAGACTCGCCCAAAAAAAAGAAACGAATTCAATGGAAGCCGAACACCCCCGCCTCTCGCGCTCCCTCGCGCGGGCGGCGGTAGCTTCCGCCCCTGGCAAAAGCTGCTCGAACTGATTGCCTTTTGGTTTGCGTGAAGAGACCTGTCCTTTTGTTTCCTTTGTTTCTTTCCTCACAAGATCAAGGGCTCTGTCTCGCATGTTTGTGCTTCTGAAATTCAAGGGCTCCTGTTTCCTTCAAGGGTGCCTGCTTCTTCCGGTACCTCTGAGGAGGTACGTACTTCAACCCCTGCCAACCCAAAGAAAACAATCATCAAAGAGTATCAAGGCCTGAAAGTCAGCCAGCTAACGCTGACCCATCCAGCGAACGATCCTCTGGGATATGATCCTGCCAACAACATCAACCCGGGCTGTATGAACAGATCCTTCATGCAAGCGTTGAATCTCCAAGTCATTGTGGCTTTGGATGACGTAATTTGTGTTTTGCCACTTTCTCCGGGATCATTCTGGCATACATCTTCTCTTTGACAGGGGGGCACACATGTTTGCAATAGAATCGTCGGAACATCCTGGGCTGCGTTGAAGCCCACCATCCCCGAACCGTGTCACGTGTTCACGGAGTATCAAAGACTCGATCAAGGCGATCTCAACTTCACCTCTAGAATAAGCATGTTGGAACAGAGTTGGAAAATGTATGACTCAAGACCCAGGATTCGGAGAAAACATTTTGAGGATGAGCACTCTGACAAACTTATGGATGAGGGCTGTGCTGGCACCCCTTTGAGCGAACCCAGGAGTTCGCTGAATTGCCATCAACAAGAACCTAGAATTCAAATCCCCAAGCCATCCAAGCCAAGTGGGGAAGCCCCCGACTTTCGACGCAACAACCATCAGGAGCCGGGTAGGAAATGCCTTGTGCGGATTCCGTCGGACCCTGTGGATCGTGGAAATGCCACCAGAATTGATTGATCCTTTCCAGCCATGCCAATGGGAAGGAGGAAACCGCTGCCCAGAAATCGGACCAAAAATCCAGGGACAAACCCAAAGCAGGTTGCGATCTTCTTGCCCCAAAGAAGCAGCACTTTCAAAGAAGCCAAGACGAAACCTGTGCCCTTTCATTAGCTTGACACCGTGAGAGGGTAGATGGCGCCAACTGGCAGTAGATGTGGCTACGAAAATCCAATCCAAAGGATGACTCAACTAAAATTGTTCCATCTACCTTGACCCAACTACACAGAACGCTCAACTACATGCCTATCCCTAACTATCTTTCCCATCTACTTCCACCCAACTGCACTCTCAAAATGTCTGCTACCCGCCCATCTCTACCCCGTCTCGCCTCGCGGGGACTCGCGCCGCCGCGGGTAGCCAGCGGCGGCTGCGGCTTGCGGGCCTGAAAGCGCAAGTGGAGTTTCCGGGGCACTTGGATGTTCAGCCTCCTTAAAGGGGCGATCGGGTACCTGGCAAGTGGCGTGTAAGCCTGGCTAATATCCAGGTAGACCTTCAACCATGGTAAGTGGGTCGTAACCATGATTGTTTCTCACTTACTAAGTACCCTGCCCCATTTAAGCACTTAGTATGTAGATGAGAACCATGGTTCTCAGACGGGGGTTGGCTATCTTGTGACAGTGGCTATAGTCTTGCTACACCCCCCAACCGGGTCGTGCCCCTTCGGTTTACACCAACTCCCAGAAGGAGCACGTTGAAAAAAAAGCCACGCTTCCCATTCTCGGGGACACCTCCAGAAAAAGGTTCCAAACCGTGAAGACCTCCGATGAAAAAACTTCTGAGAACTTCTTCGGCAACTGATCTGACCTGGTTTCGAAATCTCCCGACTCTTGGGGCATTGCAATGGAGAGCTATCGCTCCTCTTTTTCATGGAACAAATACTCTTGGCTTCACGAACAAAAGCTAGAGCCCCGCCTATGGACCCTGCCGATCTCCTTGAAGGCTTTGCTGGGCAACTTTTGGCGACGTGTTGCCTTCATGCGGCTTGTGAAGCCCCTAACCCGTGGGTTCTAGACTTTCTGCCATTCAGACTTTCTGCACTGGACATCGCCATTTCATGAAGGTCTCTCATACAGGTTTCCTGGTATCATTTCCGTGGCGTCCCTCTGTCCCCAGTAAAGTTGCTTCATCCGTACTTCAGGGGTTTTGCCAGTCCAGCGGCTCCCAATGGACACATGAGGTGGCTCATGGTGGTTTGAACTGAGAAAAGCCAATGTTTTCAGAGAATTCCCGGGGCTCAGTATAATACATGGTGGTTTCCTTTTGAGAAAAAGTCAAGCCCCATGGTCTCAAGCCATAGGGACTGCGCCTCTGCGTAGCGCCAGAGAATCGGACCCCTTTTTGGGAGTCGAACCAAAGGGCACCACAGAACACCTGGCCATGGGTCAAAATCCCGTACCCTCATTGAACATCCCAATCCCCAGTAAAATGGACGAAAATGGGTGGTGCACCTACCCCAAATTGGTACCGTTGGTTTTGACCCACAGCCACCTAACACTTGAACCCGCCAAACCCAAAGGCGGGGGGTACTTCCATTTGCAGAGGGTCCCGAACCCACCAAACAACAAGGGGATCGACTGCGCCTGAAGCTTCTGCCCGCGGGTTTTGCATGGTACGCGTTCATCTGTTGGGTGAACCACCCCCAGCTCAGGCAGCAATCCTGGGGGTTGTCGTCGTCCCACCGTTTCCGGATGCGGCTACGCAACGTGTCCAACCCTCTAAGCACCAACGTACACAGCCGTCAGCTTGCAGCACTTGAGTGACTCGCTCACGGCGCCGATCTGCAGCGGCCTTTTTTGGCCCTTGTCCTTGAGGATGCTGACGGCGATGAAGGGGGAAATCCACCAGGCCCCACTTGGCTGAAAAAGAAGACGGCCGGCCGACAGCCAGGCTTACCTATGATACCGAACATCGCGAATTTACCAGCTGACTTGGCGTGCTTTTGAGATGTATCTTCTAGGGATCCTGCTTTGGTCTGAGACACATCGCGTGGTTCGGAAGCCCGAATAAACCCCCCCCCCTCCATCCACTTTTGGAGGTTGCCTTGACAGGGGAATGGCTCGGAAACCTGTATTTCTATGTTTCCCTCTCAAATATCTCACAAGGTGAACCTCAGAAGACCCCCGTGTGAAGCCTGGGATTCCTTTCGGCACCATGAAAAAGCTGCGACTTTCGGAGGTGCCAAAAAGAAAAAAGCCCTGTCCAAACAAAAACACCCGAAGCAGCTTTCAAGGTCACCCCTCAATTCCTTTAGAGACCCCCTTCGCGGGACCCGTTTTTCCAGTTTTTTCGGCGCCCCCACCAGGTGGCAGCGCATCGGCGCTGTGGCTCCTGCCTCGCGGACAGGGCGCCAACGACTGTCTTTTTGTTGGGTTGGTGGCAAGGGAAAGTACAAGAGAACACCGAATCCCGTTTTGGGGAGTCCCAATCCCCCCGAGTCCCAATCCCCCGAAATATTTGGGAGTGCGAATCCCCCGAAATTTTCGCGAGTCCCAATCCCCCGAAATGTTGGCGAGTCCAAATCCCCCCAAAAATTTTGGTGAGTCCCAATCATTGGGGAGTCCAAATCCCTCCAAAGATTTGGCGAGTCCCAATCCCCGAAATGTTGGGGAGTCCAAATACCCTCCCAAAATTTTGACGAGTCCCAATCCCCCGAAATGTTGGCGAATCCAAATCCCCCCCATCCCAATCCCCCGAAATGTTGGCGAGTCCAAATCCCCCCCAAAATGTTGGCGTGTCCCAATCCCCCGAAATGTTGGCGAGTCCCAATCCCCCCAAAATGTTGGCGAGTTCCAATCCGAAGTCCAATTCCCGCCCAAAAGTGTGTTGGCTCCCCCAAAAAAATTGGCAAGTCCCAATCACCCGAAATGTGGGGAGTCCAAATCCCCCAAAGTTTTGGCGAGTTCCAATCCCCCGAAATGTTGGGGAGTCCAAATCCCCCAGAAATTTTGGCGAGTCCCAATCCGCCGAAATGTCGGGGAGTCCGAATCGCGAAGTTTTAACACATTCCCATTGACAACTGGGGCTTTGATTGTGGTTTCTTTTAATTGACCTCAAAAGGAGAACCTGAAAAACAAAAAGCAGCCATACTTTGACCTGTGTGCAATCATCTACTTTTTGCGAATCAAACTCTGAGGGGTCACCCATCCTATTTGACACACGCACATGGCTCAGAATGAAAGAGCTGGGGCAAACCGCAGGTTGATCTTTTCCGTGCGCCATGCCATTTGGAGTACAGTTTTTGAGCCACAGCTATTTTAGCAGTCCAACAGAAGAATTGGTTCCCCTGAAAGAAGCGCAATGTTTGTCTCCTTCTTAGTAAAGGTCCTCACAAAAGTCTGGACATAAATCCCCACCGAACGTCCACCATTTGGGCGGCTACCTTGTTTTTGGTAGGTGTCGAGGGGAACCAAAAGGAAAAACACACACAAAAACAAAAAAATGTCAGGTCCCAAGTTAAGATTCACACCCAAATGACTTTGTTGGGGTCCAAATGATTAAGGTCTCGAATCTAATGAATCCCCACCGAAAATATGTCCACCATTTCAGGTCCCCAGTTAAAACTCACACATACCCATTTCAGCTCCTCGCCCAAATCACTAAAGGTGTCCACCATTTCAGGTCAGTCAACAAAATCTGGTGCCATAGGCAGGGAATGAGAAATGCAGTTCCCAGAAAAGAAAACAGATCCGACTGGTCTCTGGTGTCCGTTTTCCTTTGGGACCCAAAGCGCCAGGGTTCTTTCCCAACACAAGACACCTATCGACCCATCGCAGCTTTTCTGGCAGACGTATCAATCTTGAGTAGACTGGGTTAAGGTGAAGTATCCAATGACGCAGCGATCGCCTGGCGAGGTGCCGGTGCGCCACACCGGCCGCACCGAGGCCCGGGTCTCCGGCGGGCCTGCGACTCGAAGCCCCGCTCAGGGCGCACGACGCGAAGCCCAAAATGAGAGAAGTCAGAGGCGTTTTTTTAGCTCGAAACAGAGGTGCTTTCGAGGGTTTTGGTGAGGATGTGGTGTTGGTGATATTGGACAATCTCGTTTTTGGATGGAAGAAGATGAATAAGACAAAAGAACACACGGCCCCATTTCAGCCACCTAATTACAAAAGGACATGAAAGGGTAAAACATGATTTTCTCCACCAACAACCCAGTTTAGCCGGATCTTTGGCAGGTTTGGGCAGGAAGTCAAACGTTGGAGAAGTGGTGCCAGAGTCTTGAAGCGTCCCATGTCCCCGGCACAACTTCTTGAATCCTGAAATGCACCGGCGAAAAGAAGGAAGTCCGATGCTAGGAAGTCAAATGTTTGGAGTCCAAAAGACCAATGGGTCCGTCTCTTTTTGAGGCTCGCCCCATTTGTTGGGCGGAGCGCAATTGTGGGGGTCCGATTCCAGAGGTTCTGCAGCGCCGGGCTTAAACCAGTTTTTGGTCAATGGAAACGGCCATGACAACAGGGTCCCTATGAACCTTGGGCTGCAAGAGTCCCACTGTGTTTGTTTGAGAGTACCTGTTTCGTTGGTGTGTTTTCAAGGAAAACCGAAACAATCTGTGGGTGTCCCCGAAAAACAACAGACAGACCGCCACCTGAGTGTTTCTTCTTCCTATCTGCAGGTCCCCAGCCAGTGACCCCGACCAAAAACGGGTAGGCTCGAGGCGAGTGAAGGCCCCGAAGTCGCCCCAAACTGCGTTGGTCAGGGGAAAACGAGGCTGGAAAATGGGCTTGGGCAACCCTGGAATTGGAACAAATCTCGGGGTTGACCAACAAGAACGGATCTCCTTCCGGTGGCCGCGAGCGAAAACAATGGGGCGACTCACCCCATCTTTCTTCCCCTCGCCCAAGTGGCCGTCCCTCCCAAGTTGCAGGGCGAGTTGGTAGACACCGAAAAAATTAGAACGCTCGGAGTTTCAGGCGGCCGAATGGTGCCACGATGTCTCTTTGGCTCCAAATGAAAGGACGGAATTTTCAGCATGGCGACTTTGCTTTGAGAAGCCCTCTCTCTCAACCCCAAGAAGATGTCCAACGGTGCATCTTGATGGCTACCACTTGCCCAAAAAACACATGTTTTGTGAGTCAGTGGGGAAATACTGGTACAAAGGTGAAGGATCCAACCCAGTAGCACTCAAAGTATTACACCCTGAGATTCAGCACTCCGCCCTTTCAAGCGACCCCGCCGCGCAATTCCCCGCACATGCCGCGCACAGTCCTCGCAATTCCCCGCGCATGCCTCGCGGCTGCATCCGCGGGCTACCAGCCGAGGTCCTCAATGAGAGCATGAGCCATGGAGGTGCGAGCTCAGCGTGTGGTGATTCCATTGACCCAGCTGTTTGGTATGACGTCCTGGATCGAAAAGAAAAACCAAAAGGAAAACTGAAATTTAGGCCCTCACAGCCAGAAATGCTATTGGACGCCCTGGACCCGTTCTCGAGCCCGCGGCATCACCACAGGCGCCCCGTTTGGGTACCTCGGGTGAAAGCAAGGGCAGAGCGATCCCACAAACCCCGAATGGGGGAAATGCTTCGATGGTTTGGGGTGATCACTGCATGGTTCGTAACCCAACCTAACAGGGGTTGAAGTGGAGTTAATTAAGTGGCCAGGTTGGGGGCCGTGGGTCTTGCGTGTATCCCTACTACTGAACTTCGGATTAATCAACCTGGCAGCTGCATCCCTGAAACAATCTTTCAAGAGCTTGGCTCAACCACTTTTGGGTGTGTCCTTTTTTGAGTGGGTACCCCTTTTTGGGGGTTGAAGTACCCTAAAAACAGGACACGCCCATTTCACCCACCCGTCTGCGCATTGCGCCTTGGGTCTCCGCACGGCGCCCGGGCCGCGAGCGCCTTCGCGCGCGAGGGCGAGCCTTGGACGCTTGGTTGAGAGGCTGGAGGATGGTTTTGAGGGGTTTTTTCTGGGGCGAAGGCACCAAGGGACCCTTGGGGTCAGGGGGGTCAGAAGAAGCTTTTAGCTTTTTTTGGCAAGCTCCTAACGCATCAAGGGACCTCCAAATTTGGGTTTTGACCTGAGAAACTCGAGACTCGAGGTCTCCAATGGCACTTCCCCAGTGGCCCTTCTCGCATGTTGAAACCAGTTTGGGCCTGATTTTAAATTAGGGGGGGAGCAACCTCTGGCTGGGGAGCAACCAGGTGGCGAACGAAACAACTACTAAAGGTTGGTTTAAAGGAAGTTTTAAAAGGAGAGCCTCCATGTTAATTACTAAAGACGCCTTTCCCCATTGGCAGTTTGGATTGGCTTGCACGTGAGGGGCTGGGAAATCCCATGTGCCAACAAGAAAGAGGGGTTCAAATCCACCTAAGGCTTAAAGCTGATCATGTGTCCTGACACCCGACAAACACCGAGAATCAATCGTGCGTCTGGAAAACAAGGTTTAACCGCTGGTAAACAGCCTCTATTGTGTGGCTGGTCAAAACAACCCTGCAAAAAACAAACAGTTAAATTCTTGCCAGCTCGTGAACAGCCCAGTAAACGTCCATATGCGCAAGTCCCCTGGAAAAAAATAAAACCAAGAGGAAAAATGAAAAATCGTCTTAAGCACATGCTCATGTTCCTTCGCTCAAACCTTCCCATTTCCTCAGCCGTACCTCTGGAGTGGCCAGTTTTGGACTTGGCATGGGAATGGCGACCTCACATGCATAAGGAGTACAAAAAGTGTCCCCAGAGTCTCCAGCGACCTCCATTTGCTTAGATGTCCTCGGAAAGAATGACAGTACGTCCAGTAGTTATGGGTTCCGTTGAAAACCAACAGGGAGTATCCTTAAAAAAAAAAAAAAATGCTGAAGCAAATGGAACGAGATGCTCTCCCGCAAATATTCACTTGGAAAATAAAACATCGCCCATTTGTAGAGCACCCCCCCTTGTTGGGTTCGTTTTCTGAATTTTGAAGGGGAGCTACACAAGGGCCTAAATACCTCCTTCAAACTATTTAGGCTCCAACCGCAGTCTCAACTGGTTATACCTGGCATACCGGGATAGCTGGGTTTCATCTACCTATGACGATGGTTCCAACCCACTTACCTCACGTGAATTGAACACCCAAGTACAACCAAGCAAATGGTTCCCATTCAACACATCCCGGTGCAGCCGCAAGGCGTAGCCAGCTGGCCTCATTATTTGACCATCATCAGAGTCACCCCAAAAGAGGCAGGCTAAAAGGAAGCAACCCCAGTTGCTGAGTTTGATACCCCCCATTAAGAGTCCAAATAGGCTCGTCTTTTCTTGAGGGTCCCTTTTTTGGTGGCTTTTGTTAGATGGAAACCAAAAGGAACACCACCACCAATTTGGGGGGGTCCCCTAAAAAAAGAGGACACACCCAAATAATGACGAGGAGCTGGGTGTGGCAAAGCCCCCATGCACTGGCACGGGGCGCGCTTTCGCCTGCATTGCACATGATCATAGATTAGGCGAGGTTAACGCCCAAAACTAAAAGGCTACCCTCCCTTCCACTAACAGTCACTAACAGAAGGTTTGTGGGAGAGTACCTAGAAGACCATTTTCCTGCATGGACCCTTGGTGCCATGTTAGTGGGAGTGAGGCTCGGTAACTTTTTGGGGCCGCTTTAATGGATCAAAGTAGGCAACACCAAAAGGTTCAAAAGGTGGGGTTTGGACAAGTGGGTATGGGTCAAGATTAAACCACCAGGAATTGGACCGCAGGCTTTGGTCCATGTTTCCACTTGGGGTTCCAGTTGGGGTTACCAACTATTCTTGACCACCACAGCCAAGTGAGGAGAAGCCGCACGGCTCGCTGATGACGAGATCTCTCCTTTCTCCGGCCCAAACAGGTGCAAACCCAGCATCCTGGGGCGAGCATGTCCCCCGCTGTCGAGTTTGGCTTCCTTCTAAGCCGGGTAGACAGGGCTCCCCAATTTTTCCCGTAAAACATCACCCCCACCAAGGGACCCTCACCTTTCATGGGCCAAAAAGGTGATGTTTAAAACCACCAAAAAGGGAAATATAGGGACCCCTGTTAGAAGGGCAGCGAAAAGCAGACACCCAGATGTGGGATTTGTGCCCAAGGGGGTTCTCTCCGAGGACCCGATCGATCATCACGCCCCTTTGCTGCAGCGTCGAAGCGTGTACGCTTCCGGAGCTCACCAAGGGGCTTAGCAACTTGCTTCGTCACTTCTGTACCCTCTTTCCAATAATCGTGGAAGTGGCCTGGAACTTCCAGGAAAACAAGGAAGTGATTGAAAATCCTGGCTGCAATGATCGGAGGGAAAGTAACTTTTTAGAGGCATCACGGAAGTGGGAGATCCCATCCATCTGCAACATCATTCCCGCTGCGCAGTGAGCCTCACAGAGCACCCGCCTCAGCCCAGTTTGCCTATCAACCAGACTTGATCGACCCAGCCAAGAGCCTCAGCAATCACCATCTTGTCAGCTGGATACCAGAAGTTACCACTCACTGCTCGAGGCGTTAGAAATGGCAACGCACCCAAAAAGCCTCGAAACAAGCCAGCAAGATCTCAAAAGGACCTCAAGCAGGACGTTTTCACCCACATCTTTGGACGCCCCCACCCCCAAACGACCGAATGCCCGAACCCGCCGTCGCCGTTGTCACCACCGGCGCCGCGGCCGCGGCCCGCCGGGTGGGCATGGAGACCATGCCTGAGACACTTTTTTTCGCGCTTGGTGCGGGGTTTGGATCCCGCGCCCATAAATCCAAATGAGTGGATTGGCCAGGAAAAGTCGCCAAACTTTGTCGTGGAAGCCACCCGAAATGGCCCGAACCCAACAAGTTTTAAAACAACACAAACTTAGGGAGTGAGGTACCCATGCATCCAGAGCACGTGACTTCACACGCGGCTACGCGTGTGTGAAAGTCCTACGACTCCCGGGGGGCACACCTGCTTGAAGCACGCAAGACACCGCTTGCTTGCCTATCTCAATCCAAAGTCAGCCGACCTTTTAACGTTTCGGTGTCCTTTTTTGGCCCGTGTCTAGGGCCCCAAGAAGTCAACCTATGTCAATCCTCCTTTCGGCAGATCAGACATAGCAAGTGTGTTGTTCAGTTTGTCCAACCCGAAACTCAAAGGGCTGGGTAATTATGTCCTCGCTTTTCAGACCCTCAAGTCAAACTGGTACCAGCAAAGACACACAAGCGTTCCCCAAATTACCTCAGATTCGCAAGATAGCTTTGATTCTCCTTCAGTTATGACATGGTCGCCGAAAGAGGTGTTGAGTTGTCAAAAAAGGCGCAGCCCCCAGAGTGCCCATCATGCCCTTCCAGAATACATAAATTCACTCGAAGATTCGTCTGGAACCTCATGCTCAAACTCCAATAACCATGACAAAACATGCCGTTTCATATGACATGCCGGCGCGAGCCGCAAGTCATTTTTTTCCCCCACTGGCCTGCACCGCTTGTCTTTTTTTCGCTAGCTGGCCAGGGGGTTGGTTGGCTTATGCCTAGAAGATTTGCCCCATGAAACCAAAGGTGGATGGGGCAGTAGATTCGGTATGTCAGGTAAGTGGCCGGCGACCCTGGTTTTCGCCCAACGTATGTCTCTAAGTGGGGTTATAACCATGGTAAATCACCAAATTCTAAATAGCCTGCCCCTTCAAGTATGCAACCCTGGAAAGAACAAACTTTGGGTTGGGCTCAAATCTTGATGATAGTTCCCTCCCAATCGGCACCCTGTTTTGCGAGCAACCCCAGTGGCAGGGAAGTGCTGAAGCGTTTCCGCGTTTCCAACCCAAACAGGCGCGACAAAACCGGGGGAAAGAACCCAATCTGTGCATGTTCACTTATTTCGGATTGGGCTTTTCTAACCCAAAAGAGGGGGGGGAAGGGTATGAGTGGACTTTCAGGGTTGGATCGCTTCCCAAAAAGATCCGGTGCTTTCAGTTCCCATCAGGGGGTGGGTGACTGTTGCAACCAATCAAAAGTCGCAGAAACCTTTTGTCGGGGTTTATTTGAGGTGCACCTTTGCCAGGACGTGCACCAAACATATGACGCGCCTTATGTCTCGCCATGCCGCTTGTGTACCCCATACAAAGGCTGATATCCCCCAGTTCAAAAGGGAATATGCATGTTCGTTGAGGACACGTCTCCACGCAAGCAAAACAGATGTAACTGAGCGGTCAAGACGCCAAGGTTCAATTCAGAGCCTAAGGCAAACCTCTCGGCCGAAATCAAAAAGCGGAAAGCCTCACTCGTCACATGTTTCGGTGCAACTCGGGGCTCAGAGGCGTCAAAGATACCAATGCTTCACGGAAAAGAAAAAAAAACCTCGTGAGTCCCCTGGTTTGTCACAAGTACTTGCTTCCCCAAGAGGACATGGGTTGTGGGAAATTGGGAGCTCGTTCCCCCCTTCTCGTCCCTCCCAAGTACTGATTTGACGCTTCATATGGGTGTGTCTTTCTTCCTTTAGGCGTCCCCCATGTCCTTTCGGCTTTCCTTTGAAAATGGGTACCCCAAAAAAAAACCAAAGCTTTGGGTGTTTCTTTAAAACCAAAAGGAAAAAGTACCCCCAAAAACATGCACCTGAAATCCATGAAATGACATGGCTGTGGGTCAAAGAAGGGAACCCCAACTGGAACCCTGGCAAGTGGAAACATGGACCAAAACCTGCGGTCAAAGTTCCTGGTGGTTTCATTTTGACCCATACCCACATGCCCATGGGTCAAAACTCAAATCGTACCCCCAGTGAACATCCAATTCAATCCAACCACTAAAATAGGTCCTAAAATTTGGGTGGTGAATTCACCTACCAACCAAAAAGGGATCCAAAACGGCTTTGGCCCACAGCCACATCGGTCCATATCCTGTTTCTTGTGTTTTTTTTACCCATACTTCTATAGGAAAAGACATCAAGCCATGTTTTTTGCGGGGGGGGTGTTTAAAAGGGTGGTTCCCCCCAAAAACGAGATGACCTGAACTCCACAAATTTGACGACCTGCAGCCTTCTCCGCTTTCCCCCCGTGCTTCCGGCCACGCCGCGCTCCACCACATGCCCGCGCCGCGGGTTCCAAGGAACCCCCGCCATGACACCCGGCTGGGTGAAGAGCTCTGTGTCTCACTTCCGATCCAGCGAAATTGGCCGGGGGGGGGGGGAAAAAAAAGGATGGAAAAAAACCAAAAAAAACAAGGAGAAAAAGACACACAACGACCAACCGTGTATGTGCCGCGAAAGATTGGTTCCCCCTAAGTGTCCAGTCCAACTCAGAGCGTGAGAGCTAAAAAAAGCTCCAAGGGATACACATACTCTTGTATGGCTTTATGCTTGGCTTTTGGATGCTTGCAAGCTGTAAGCCACTGATGTCGATCAAAAAGCAGCCGGGACCAAAGCGCTTTGGGGGTCCCAATCTGTGGGATGATCTGCTGGAGCTGGGGCCAAATCGCCTACTTGAGATAACCAGTGGATGTACAACCGTGGCCTACTCCGACTTGAAGGTGTGCTTGCCAACCTGGGTTCTGACCCCGCTTAGGGGATTTACAACTATGTCAACCTGGTGGGTTATGTCCGTATGGCTCTAACCACCTACCCGGAACAAAGCGACTCTGGGATTCCCGGATTGCTCGTCCCAACAACCTCGCCCGCGCGATTTGCTGGCAGTTCATATATATATATATATATATATATATGTATATATATATATATATACACGCACAAATCAAATGTACCGATCATATACTACTTCCCACATTGACCAATCGTACCAGTTCCCTACACCTGCAAAGCCTCTGGGGCTGAAGAAAACTCAGCTTTTGGTGCTTCCTGGGTCCCACGTCTTGAGCCGATCAGGCGGGTTTTCGCAACCATGGCGGGTCCCTCGCGGAGCGAAGACACTCAGCTTCCCCAAGGAGCCGTTCAGGAATCTCTTTTTGGGTGACCACCTTGCGGAGTTCCATGCCAACTTGTAGAAAAGTGGCTCCTTACTTGGTGTCCCTCCCTCATTTTGAGTCAAATCCCGACCAGGGATACCTCGGCTTCCCCCATAAAGGTACCTCAGCAGAAGGATGTGTGTCAACATATTATGGAGGTTGGGTGGTGTCCCACTTACACTGCACAGTGAAGAAATGGCGACCTCAAAACAAAATGGCGACTTGAGCCGGCTGCGCATATTCGCAGGCATGTGTCTTCCGGGATCATTGTGTTGACCAGTGCTCACCTTGCCCTGGTTGGTGGTTTGGTTTAGTGCTTTGGACCTCAGAAGACTTGGCTGGAATTGGGACCCCAGCAAAAAAAAACACTTTCTTGCCCAGTAGTGGAAAACAAAAGGGAACCCCAAAAAAGCAAAAGAGTAAAAAGGGGAACTACTTCTGGGGAAGGAGATAGCTTCTCCACTTGGTTTCGAAGGAGGGGTCGCCATGCCTCGATTTGCCCACAGGCGCTCGCGGGGTTTCTTTCGGCCCCCCGGCCAGCCCCGCACCACCGACCTAGCCGCCCGCGGCTTCGAGAGGTCGAGATGGCGGTGGGGCCCACCCCACTCCCGGGATGTGTTTTTTTTTTTTTTTTTTTTTTTTTTTTTTTTTTTCGGGGAGTATGGTGGTTGGAACCTCCCAAACATTCTCAAACACCCACGGGTGGTTGGGATTCAGGGTCATTCCCAAATTCGGTTACCAGGAACAAGCAAGGTAGACAGCAACTATACCCCGTAGCAAGCACATGGCCATGATCCAAACGAATGCTGCTGCAAGGAGAAGTGGTCCTCCGGTAGTCGACAGCAGTCGGCAGCCCTCTGAAAGGAGGCAGTTTGAGGAATGGTTGTTTAGAAATGCTTAAACAGTTGGGCCAAATCCCAAAAATAAGGAACCCCCTCCCTCCCCGCCCAAAACCAAAGGAGAAGAAAACAAGAAAACAAGGGCCCCGCAGCCACTTATGTCCAGGCTTGCTAACTCAGCTATCTCACATCTAAGTGTGCACACCTTGTGCTGCTGCTGCTGCTGCCATGCAGTACCCCGAATGCAACCACAATTCAGTGGCCGTAACTGGCCCATACAGAGGACACTGCAGCGACTAGTGTCTGCCTGTGATTGCGTGAAACATGGTACTGGGCATCCAGGATCAAAACACCAGCGGTTGATTCATATGTGGGTGTCCAATGTTAGTTCTTCAGTTCTATTTGATCCGCCAGCATGACAAACACAGCGCGTTCCGTTCCAAAACAGCCCCCCAACCTCTCCATTGCTGCTTGCCGTGTCAACCCGCAAAGATCCTCGAACACGACAGAAGCTATTTGTATATATATATATATATGCATAGCATAGCACCCCCTATCATCGTGCCCTGCTCACCTTTGAGAAAGTCACCAGTCGCCCAAAACGTGTTCCAAACCACCCACAGGAAATACCATAGCTTTGGGAGCCTTCAGGATTCAGGACTGAGCGGGGTGGCTTCCTGTCGGCTTCCCTTATCAACAGAAAGAGGCTCCGCTGAAACAAAAGGAGCACGCCAGAGTCTAATTTGGACCGGGACGCAACATGAAGAAGCCTGGAAAGGCTAACAGGTCAACTTTGATTTCTCCGCAAAACCCTACTCAGAAGAGCCCATAAAATTATGTTTAAAAACAATGTCCTTCCTAAAAGCGGTCCCGGAGTGCGGTTTTCCGGGATTCATCTGAGTCATAATCAAAACCCGGAATTAAAATGGTCTACCCGGAACCATGCTTCAAGAATTAAGAAGGCGGATTCCCGCAGCGAGTTTTATGGCTGGGATTGTCCCTAACTAACCTTCATCAATCCCCGGGTTTTGAGCACGTGGCTCATCTGAGGTTGACATCAACGGCTTTTTGCATCTGCTTCGAGGCCAAGGCAGAAGCTCCTCGTCGCCCTTGGGCCCTAGACGCATCAGCGCGTCCGCCGCGGCGCGCCGGGACTGCGGTGAAGCGAAGCGTTAAACGGAAAAAGGCGGGAACTCTCCGAAGCGAGCTTCGGATCGGAGAGAAAGCCATGTCCATTCTTTCCAGGGATCCGAATCTTTCTACAAAACCTCCGCAAACCCAGGGAAAACGGATCCGGCTTTTGGAAAGAACGATCGTTGACAAGAATGGAGAATCAACCCTAGAAACTTAGCTTCCTTGATTCAAGTTTGTTGGAGGGGGTGGTCAATCCCACTCGGTTTCCTTGATGTTTGTTGGGAGTTGTCAAAGTTGGGGTCCTTCTTGGGTGGGTTTTTTTGGTAGAAGTCGAACGCAAGTGACGGTGTTCCTTGATGTTCTCGCGGGTTGTGTCAAAAAAAAAGAGGGTCCAGCTGAGGTGCTTCGGAGGAAACAAGGCGAATGGCTTTTTGGATCTCTTCATTCATCTGAAGGCTGGAACTTGCACATCCTGGACGATGGGACAAGACTTCAAGTCAACTTGGTCCCCTTTCCTCAAAACCCAACCAAACTAAACCCTGGTGGCAGTACATGAGGCAAGTGGTCAGCAACCGCGAATTCGCAAAAGCCAGCCAAAGCCATGGTTGAAAGTTTCAACCACCCACCTGACAGACCAAAAATCGATCGCCCCTTCTAAAACGCGGGGAAGAACGAAAAAGGACGGCCATGTTGTCGCCATTGGCTAAAGGCTCCAACCCACCGTCTGGGGGCAATTTGGCAACTTTCAAGCCGCGAAGCCGCTTGTTCGGAACGACTACGCTGAGTTCTCCCCGAAAAAGATGCAGCAAAAATCGCCCCTAGCACTCCATCTCAGACAAACTAGAGAATAAAAAATACGCATTGGGGGGTGTCCCCTGGGTTTCGTGGGATTCATCACTTTTGGAGCGGACACCCCCCCATTGATGGGATGAGGTTATTAATCTGGGGTCAACGTTACATGGATATTGTAGATTGGGGCACTGAAACCAGTTCAATCCACATCAAGGTGCAAGTAGATGGCAGAATTCCTGTTAGGGAAAGTAAAGGGGATGACTAAACGGACATTGGGGAATCATGCCAACTACTTGGATGAGGATCACCCTGAAACCGGTGTCGCCTGGTGTTCTGAACCAGCATTAGACTACTGGGTGTTCTGGCTGTGGCTCAAAAAACCGGTACCCAAAATGGAACCCTGGTAGGTGGAAACATGGACCAAAACCTAGGCAACCCCTCCTGCTTAATTTTGAGCCGCCTTCTCATTAACGAATCGCCTCAATGAAACGAGTAGCCTCAATGTATGATGTCCACCAAGAGGTCCCCAATTCGTCTATGTTCAAACGAACTGAAACCTGAAAAGGACTCCAATACTGATGAGCCATGAGGAATTGTTATCGTCCATAGTCCTAAACGGCCTGTCACTATGAGTCACTGGTTGTTTTGCCTCCTCTTGGCCTCCTCTTGCAGCCCACTCCAAATACTCCCTCTTTTGCAATAATACAACAAAAAGGAAAAAAACCTGGTGGATATGTCCATGTTTTTCGTCAGTGGGCATGAGCACAGGGCTATAGCTTGGCAAATTCCCCGCTCCCGCCTCCACCCGGTACGGCGCATCCGCAGGCGGCAGCACCTCCTGCAGCGTGGCGTGCACCGCGCCGCCTCAGATTCGAGGAAAACGAGGCAAAGCCAAAAGAAAAGGAAAAAATCACAGGAACACCAGAGCCACAACAAAGGAAACAAAGGAAAGCAAGGGAAATCAAAGGAAAACAAATAAAACAAAGGAAACAAAGGAATCAAAGAAAAACAACGAAAACAAAGGAAAGAAAGCTTAGCAGATCGAATCAAACCAAGGGAAACCAAAAGAAAGCCAAAAACCATCAGGATCCATCCTTGGGGTTGGGGGCCAATAACCCCTCTGATTGGTGGTTGGGAGCCGAATCGGTGGGGTTCGGGCTGGTTCCCATTTACCCTCGGGTTCGATTACCGAAACCGCCAATCCAAGCCACCAATTAGGGGCATCCTGCGGTAAAATGAAGGTCAAAAAAGAACTTGTGGTTTGGAAAATCAGGATCCTTTGAGACATTCGGGCAGTCAGGATGGATCGAGCGCTCCAACGTAGGAAAATCCGTCCTCTTTCCCCGAGGGATCTAATGGGATATAGTGCCGCTATATAGTCACAATGCAAAGGCTACATTACCCATTTTCCCCCCGAGGAAAGTGGCTTGGTGGTTGTGGAAAGCTTCTCTCA